TATTAATCCCAATTATTCATTTGCTTGATTACAATTCTTCTATTTTAGTGGTTTTATGAATTGCGTCGCGCGGCGCCTCTCCCCAAGGCGTGGAGGCTAGGACGGCATGCCAATTTGGGCTTTGCGCTCCTTCAGGCGGAGAGTCACGCGCACGATGGTTTCCAGGAAAAGGCCGCCAGCTTCTGAGTCACACAGCATTGTTCCACGGAGAGAAAGCATGCCAACAAAGGGGCTATTGAGGGGGGGGGAGCTTATTCCCTTAGGGAAACTGCACCTGTTAAGAGAGCTTCTGGAATCCACACAGAACGCTTCATGCAGTAGGTGGGTGTCTCCCCCCGCTGAAGAACTCTGTGCCATCCGACAGCTTGCCTCTGTACATGAGCAACACCTGACCTGGTTTAGCTCCCTTCTCACTGCAGAAGGTGAGGTTTCATATGCCAGAAAGGATGATCCCAAATAGGTTAGTGTCTGAAGCAGAAAATTCAGCTGGCGACTTATCCCCAGGGAACACAGTCTCAAAGGGAAGTTATCCTTCTTGCTGGAATGAAGCAAAGTTGCTTATGGGCCTGAATTTCAAAGGGGACAGAACCCCGTGAGGGATTGTTCGCAGCGGGTCTGATAAGCCTTTTTCACGGCACCCCAAACCTGCTCCTTATTCGTTATTCATTGCATAACATATATATAGTCCCTCGGCTGCAAAAAATTGGTGTACAAAATAATAATAATAAAACAATAAGGAAACGCAACAGCAATGATTTAAGGCATTCGAAAGGTTAAAGTAAATATAGGCTAAAAACTATATATGTTCCTAAACATATATAGGTAGACTTGTCCAAACAAAAATGGTTTTAGCAGGGGACAAAAAGAGTACAGTGAAGGCACCTGCCTGGCATCTATAGGCTAGGAGTTCCAAAGTTCTGCCACACTAAAATGTTGATTTCTTACAAATCGCCCACTGGCATTATGTAATAATGCCTGATCCCTTGATCAAAGCTGTCTTGGGGGTGTATGTGGTAGAAGGTGATCTCATAAGTAAACATTGCCCTAAGTTGTTAAGGGTTTTATATACTAGCAGGAACACCTCGACCCTCGCCAGGTAGCGAATGGGCAGCAGGCACAATATCTGAGCACAGGTGTGAGATCCTGATAAGGCCTTGCTCCTGTCAGCAACTGGGCTGCAGCTTCTTGAGATAGAAAAACTGAAGAGTTAGTATGCTAGTTATCTCCCGCTTGGACTACTGCAATGCGCTCTATGTGGGGCTTCCTTTGAAAGTGACCTGGAAACGACAGCTAATCCAGAATGCGACAGCTAGACTGGGGACTGGGAGCGGCCGCCGATACCACATAACACCAGTCTTGAAAGACCTACATTCACTCCCAGGACGTTTTTGAGTACGATTCAAAGAGTTGGTGTTGACCTTTAAAGCCCTAAACAGCCTCAAAGGCCCAGTAGACCTGAAGGAGCGTCTCCACCCTCATCATTCTGCCCAGACACTGAGGTCCAGCTCCAAGGGCCTTCTGGTGGTTCCCTCATTGTGAGAAGTGAGTTTACAGGAAACCAGGCCTTCTCAGTCGTGGTACCCTCCCTGCGGAATGTCCTCCCATCAGATGTCAAGGAAATAAACAACTATCTGACTTTTATAAGACATCTGAAGGCAGCCCTGTTTAGGGAAGTTTTTAATGACTGATGTTTCATTATTCTGTTGGGAGCCACCCAGAGTGGCTGGGGAAACCCATCCAGATGGGCGGGTTATATATAATAAATTATTATAAATTATTATTATTATTATTATTATTATTATTCCCTAAGGTAGACAGCCACTCGCTTCTGGGAAGTCCTCAGAAAGGGTGTGAAGGCATCAGCTCTGCCCCAAATCTGTTCCAGAGAGTCATAGAGAGGGAAGGGGCTCCCCAAAGCTCATCTGGCCCAACCCCCCTACAATGTCCTTAATAGCTGCTATTCAGAGGTACAGGAGGGACCTGCAGGAAAATGACGCAATGTGCGGTGCTCCTGTTGAGCCAGCCAGCTAGCTGGACCCTCTACCAGAACGCCATTCCATCCCATTGCCAATGCTCTTTTTCCACTCCAGCATGCTCAGTTCTCATTGGTTGTTTGGGAGAGGGGGTTACATCTGTCGGGTCTTCTCCCCCCACACCACCAAGATGTTTGGTAGTTCTGCAAACCTTGAGATTTCCCTGAGCATGCTGCCCCCTCCCTCTTGTTTTTCTTCCATTTCATTCCTGGCGGTGGCCACCAGCTGAGCTTGCTAAAAGTGGGAGAAACTGGAGGTTCCAGACAGCTGTTGTCGCAACCGGTCGCCACTGGTGGGTCTCTCATCCTTCATCCTGCACTTGCCCATTCTCTTCAAAAAAACGTCAAAGCTGGTGACCCCAACATGTTGGCAGCGAATCCAGCAAACGCTGCCAATCCAATTTTATTGGGTGACCCAGAATTCCTGCACGACCCGAAGGAGAAAAATACCAACCTTCTCTACCCCGTCTCCCCACCATAATTTTGCACACATCTCCTCCTGTGTCTTCCCATCATGGAAGCATAGAATCATAGAATTGTAGAGTCGGAAGGGACTCCTGGGGTCATCTAGCCCAACCCCCTGCAATGCAGGAATCTCAGCTGAAGCATCCATGACAGATGGCCATCCAACCTCTGCTAAGAAACCTTCAAGGAAGGAGAGTCCACCATCCCTGAGGGAGTCCTTTCCACTGTTGAACAGCTCTTACTGTCATAAAGTTCTTCCTGATGTTTAGTCGGCATCTCCTGTCTTGTAACTTGAAGCCATGGGTTCGAGTCCTACCCTCCAGAACAGGAGAAAACAAGCTTGCTCCATTTTCCATGTGAAAGCCCTTCAGATATTTGAAGGTGACTCTCATATCTTCTCTTTTCCAGGGTAAGCACTCCTTCAACCATTCCTCATCAGGCTTGGTTTCATCCTCATCATGGATTTCTATCCCACCTTTTTCCTCTAGGGAGCTCATGATGGCACATACAATTCTCTCCCTTCCCATTTAATTCCCACAACTCTGTGGGGTAGGTTTGGCTGAGAGGCAGCGACTGGTGCCCAGTTCACGCCCAGTAAGCTTTGTGGCTGAATGGGAGGACTTGAACTCTCGACTCTCTCAGGTCCTAGTCCGACACTCTAACCACTACACCTCTGACCTAGCAGCTATGAGGATCAGGGCCTTTTCTGATGGTGGCTCCCTCCTTGTTGTGGGTCTCCCTCCCAAGAACGCCAAAAGAGGAAGCCCTCTCAGGACCATTCGAGAAGCGAGCTGAGCTCTGTCTGTTCTGAGCTGTCTGCTTCGATCCTAAATATATGCCTTATCTTCCCTTCGCAACCTTCGAGTTCCATTGTTTGACGGCGCCTTTGATTGCTTTATTGCTGCAATTTCCAAATTTTCGGGGAATCGTCTCCAGGTTGACTCATCTGCCAAGGAACTCCTGGCAAGGGCTTCTGGGAAGACACTAGCCAGCTAGGAGGGTGCAACTCTCATTGCTGGCACCGTTCGAACCAGGAGAGACCCCCAGAATGGCCACTCACCCAACCCTCAAGCGCTCCCCCATGGCTGTGGGGTGGTGTTGTTGTTTTCTCATGGGGAAGATCAGCAGCCACAGGAAATGTTTCCGAGCGAATCATCCCTGCTGTTGTTGATCTTCTTGTTGAGGAGCCCCTGAGAAGGTTCCAATGAACCCCAGGGGTGCCCAGAAAACAGCTTGGAAACTGCTGCTTTTATTAGCTACCGCCTGGCTGATGGCAGATTTTAGAGCTCTATAGTTGTCTCTGTGAAACTATGGGGTACGAGCCACATGGAGGGCCTGCTGTCTGGAGACAACTCTTCCCAGAACCACCCCAGCCTGAAGGCTGAAGCTGCCCATTTCTGCTGCAGGGGGTCCTTCACCGTCCACTCTGAATCTAAACCCCAGAAGCAGGTCTGGGAAAGGCCTTGGACCAGCCTGGGGCTCTGAAAAGACCCAGACAGTCCAGCCTTGGGGCCCCAGATGTTGCTGGACTTCAAAACCCACCATCCTCAGCCAGCTTAGCCCAACGGGCAGGGGTGATGGGACTTGTAGGCACAAGGAACGGTTGAGGAAGCTGGGAATGTTCAACTTCGTGAAGAGAAGACCAATAAGTGATATGATAGCCGTTGTCAGGAGTGCGTGCAGGAGCCAGGCCCTGGGACCAGTAGGGCTTCGCAGGACTGGGCCTTCCTAAGTTTGTTCTGGAGAGGCAAGGCGTGGCCACACAGGTGAGGCTGCTTGGTAACTCACAGCACCTGGTGGCAAGAGCCGGGAAGGGATATAAGGTCAGCATTTCCCTTCGGCTCTTTGCCACAGCAACACGTTTCCTGCCTTGCTGCATTTGGCTTCTTGCTTCCTGATCCTTGGACCTCGGCTTCTTGACTCCTTGCTTCTCGACCCTCGGACCCTTGACTTCGTGACTCCTTGCTTCTCGACCCTCGGACCCTTGACTTCGTGACTCCTTCCTTCCTGATCCTCGGACCCTTGACTTTGTGACTCCTTGCTTCTCGACCCTTGGACCCTCGACTTCGTGACTCCTTGCTTCTTGACCCTCGGACCCTTGACTTCATGACTCCTTGCTTCTCGACCCTCGGACCCTCGACTTCGTGACTCCTTCCTTCCTGATCCTCGGACCCTTGACTTTGTGACTCCTTGCTTCTTGGCCTTTGGACCCTTGACTTCATGACCCCTTGCTTCTTGACCCTCGGACCCTTGACTTCGTGACTCCTTGCTTCTCAACCCTCGGACCCTCGACTTCGTGACCCCTTGCTTCTTGACCCTCGGACCCTTGACTTTGTGACTCCTTGCTTCTCAACCCTCGGACCCTCGACTTCATGACTCCTTGCTTCTTGACCCTTGGACCCCTGGCTTCTGGACTCTTGTTCCTGCTCCCACCCCGCCATCTTGCCTCTGGTCCCGACGTCCTCAGCCAGGACTTCGATCGCCCATAGACCGGACTATGACAGCCGCTTGGATAGCTCAGTCGATTAGAGCATGGTGTGGATAACGCCAATGTCATGGGTTCGATTCCCATAAGGGACAGCTGCAGATTCCTGCATTGCAGGGAGTTGGACTAGGCAGCGTTTCTCAACCTGTGGGTCCCCAGATGTTGTTGGACTACAACTCCCATCATCCCTGAGCTCTGGTCTTGCTAGCTAGGGGTGAGGGGAGTTGTAGTTCAACAACATCTGGGGACCCAAGGTTGAGAAAGGCTGGACTAGAGGATTCTGAGTCCCTCCCAACTCTACAATTCTGTGATTCAAATATCTGAAGAGCTATCATATGGAGCCAGGGGCAGACTTTGGTCATCTCTGGTAGCATGGCTCCCTGAGCAAGGCCAAAACTTGGCAGCTCCATGTGGATCTCCCTAGTTATGGATCTTCTAAATTTGGCGACCCCACAGCTCTGCGCTCTGTGTTGGGGAACCACCTGCGTCACCGTTCATCTGATAGAGCAAGTGGATTCAAATCGCAAGGAAGGCAATGCCATCTAAACACTAGGAAGGACTTTCTGATGGTGAGAGCCATTCTACAATAGGATGGACTTCTTCGGAAGGTGGCAGACTCTCCTTCGCTGAAGGTTTCTAACCAGAGGTTAGGTGGCCATCTGTTGGGGGTTCCTTAGCTGGGTTTCCTGCATTGCAGGTAGTTGGACTACATGACTCTTGGGGGCAGCTCTTCTAACTCTACAGTTCCATGGTTCTATGAAGCTACCATCCAAGAGCCAGAACCTTGCTCCATCAAGACCAGTCTTTCCTGTCCTGGTAGACACTGGAACTCGGGACGCAAGGGAGAAACGTGCTAAGAGGAAGGCACGCCTGGCAAATCCACACCGGGATCAACTCCCCACTGTGGAAGGACGTGTGGATCCAGAATTGGCCTCCACAGTCACTTACAGATTCACTGTTGAAACCATGTTTATGGAAGACAATCTTACTTGGCTATGAGGGATCGCCAGAGAAGCAGCCCCTCCCCAGATGTTTTGGATTACAGCTGCCAGCCGGGCATGTCCAATGGGAAGCCCCAAGTTGGAGGAAGCCTGATCTGAACCAACCTGGCCTTTTGTTCTTCAACCTTGGCTCCAGACGTTGGTGGACCAACAGTGGGGAAGGGCTGTGGCTCACCTGCTTAGCATGCAGAAGGACCCAGGTGCAAACCCTGACGGCATCTCCAGGTAGATCTGGGAAGGACTCCTCTTCTGAAACCCTGCTGTTGATAGTCTGCGGACCTATGATTCAGCAAAGGGCAGCTTCCTGGCCTTCTTGATCTAACCACTGTACCCACTTCCCACCCAGCACCGTCCATCGCTGGCTTCCCTTCTTACTGCTGCGCCAACCTGCGTTGTGATTCCTGTGTTCCAGGGGGGTTGGTCTAGATGTCCTTCTGGGTGCCCTTCCAAGTCCACCATTCTATGATTCTATGAGCCACCCATTATTTACATGGCAGCCCATCAAACCAACAGCCGTGTAGTTTTTAACCAGAAACCAGCTGGCTTCTTGGATCAGAAGCAAAGTCGATTCCACGTTCAGGGAACCCTGGAGAGCCCCACTCCCCAAACCCCCTTCTCAAAGACCAGTCACAGCACGGCTCTGGCTTGCAGGGTCGTGGGGAAACCCCCCACCCCCACCGCCACTATTGGGGGGCCCCACACAACTCAGGACCCACTTTCTGCTAGCGGTGGCCAACTTTGCGACCTGCCATTGCGCCTGTGCTTTATTTTATTTTGCAGCCGGGGGAAGGACCCGCAGCCCGTCTGAGAAGGCAGGTTCCTCCTCCTTTGTGAAAAAAGAGTCCCGGTAAATCGAGGCCGGACTGCCACAAGCACCCCCAAAGCACCCATCAGTTGGCAACCACTCATGCGCTGGCCCCTTCGGGGAGGAGAGAGAAGCCGGCTGTTCGATTTTCCCCTTCCTCTGATGCCCCGAGATGGGGGGCACCACAGGGTCGCAAGTGTCCCCCCCCCCCGGCAAACAGACAGCTCGCCCACAGCTGCCCCTCCCCCCATTGCTGGACTCCTGTCACTAACACCCGCTGTTATTTTCCTCCCAGAGATATTCACATGTATGGGGGGGGGGACGACACACCGCTCCCCCAAACAATACTTTGCCCCTTCTGTGCCCCCCAGAGCCCCCTATCCACCCTCCTAAAGATGTTTCCACTCCACCCCCCACCCCGGTTTTCTCTCTAATCTACTGGCACCTCCTGACATTGAACCCCCTCGCTCTTTGGGGTATGGGGTCCTTCGTTCTGCGCCCCCTCCTCCCTCCTTCACCTGCCTCTCCCTCCCCCCAACCTCTCCCCCCCCCACTCGGTGCAGCAGCTGCAACGCTAAAGATTTTCAATGCAAGACCCTCCTTGTCCCCGCCTCCCTCTCCCTCTGCAGAAAGGGGGCCGGCGCTTTCTCCAGCCTCCCCCTCACTCTTCCTCCTCCTCCTCCTCCTCCTCATGCCAACACCCAGCCCGACCCTCGCGGCCCCGATCCCCGGCCGTCCCCCGCCTCTCCTTCCCTCTCCGTCCAAGTGCTCGGGGGTAGGGGGGAAGCCCCCCCCACCTCCCCTCCGAGGCACCGCTCCCGCGCTGCGCCCGGGCCTTTCCTGCCCGGTTCCGGGGAGGCGTTTCCACCGCGCGCTCCTCCCTCTCCTCCCCCTCCCTCCCGAGCCCAACCCCGGTTCTGCGGGGCTGGGAAGAGCCGAGGAAGGAGGGAGACTCGGCCCCTTCTGTGGCTCTGGATCGCCCGGAGAAGCCACCGGGCCCCGCGCACTCCTCTGCGCCCCGGCGCACCGCAGCCATGGCGGAGCCCAGCTAAGACGCCCTTCGGGGGCCACAGCGCTCCGTTAACCCCCACCCCCCACCCTCCCTTTGCGGATCTCGCCGCCAGGCGCACCTTTGTTTGTGGATTCCGCCGATGGAGCCTGCGAGGAGTCGGCCCGGAGGAGCCCCCTAGGGCTCCCCCTCCAAGGCGCCCCCAAGGCGGAGTCCCTTTGGCGCAGGGCGGGCGGGCGGCGGCGGCGGCGCAGCCCCTCTGGACGCGGCCGCGCTGCCCAGCCGAAAGGATGAGCCCACCTCCCGTCGGGTGACACCCCGCTGCACCCCCAAAGGTAAGGGAACCCCCTCCTGCCTTTTCCTCCAGGGAGGGAGGGAGGGAGGGAGGAAGGAGAAGGCCGCCGGAGCGACATTTGCGCATGGTGAATAGATGGATGGAAGGATGGATGGAGGCTGGAGGGGAGGGGCTGGGTGAGGGTTGATGTGATGAAGCCCAGGCTGGCAACTGGAAGCTTTGCCAAAAATGCTGGGGAGGTGTGTGTGTTGGGGTGGGGGTGGGGTTGTTATATCTGGTACTGGTATTCCTTGAGATTGGTGGAATGGTAATGTCTCTTCGCTCGTCTGATGCCAGAGGTTATGCTTGTTTGGGGAGGGGCTGGGTGGGGTGCCAGAAAATTGGGGGCGGGGGGGGCGCCCGGGTTAGTGGGTGAAGGGGCTAGCTTCGTTAGGGGCGAGACGGGGTTGTATTTCCCTCCTCCTCTGCCGCAAACGATTGGGGATGGAGACGTGTTTTTGCAGTTTTGGGGAGAGGGCTCTTCGTCCTGGCGAGGAGAACAGATGGGGGCGTTGGGCTCAAGCGGGAGCCAGCCTCTGAAGCGTCGCTGCTGCTGCTTTGCTTCTGAACCCTGCTGTGTGCCAGGCAGGGACCCTGGCACTCTGGTGGTCACCGGGCTGCTGTCCTCTCCCCTTAGCACCAGAGCGCTTGGAACTGGAACAGGCAACCTGGGATGTTTGCCCTTGTGCCAAAGATCGGAGATTTCCGAGTGTGTGTGTGTGTGTGTGGCTTTTTTTGGAGGGGGCCACGTTGGTGTATCTAGGGGGCGCTGAGATGTCCAAGTTGTCTCTTTGGCTCGGTTCGGTCTCTGGCGCGATTCCGTCGTCCTCCACCCCCAGCCCAACCCGCCGCCACTTGGGGCTGGCAAAACCGATCCTGTCTCCTAGAGCTGTGCCGTTGCTTCTGCCGCCAGACTCTGGGGGTGGCAGCTGGTTGGGAAGCGGGGAAGCTCTGCCAGGCAACAGAGGGGCCATTCTTTTCCCTTGGCACCTGCCAGCGAGGGCAGCTGGCATCCCCTGCGCCTCTTCTCTCGCTGTCCGAGGTTCTGAATTTCAAAGCCACCCTCTGCTGCATTCTGATGGGGGGACACACATACACGTGAACTGGAAACCATCACACTCACTCTTGATGGATCTGAGCAATGCCAGGAAGGGGAAACAGATCTGCTCTTCTCCATCCCCCTCCCCGCCTTTTCTTTTTTGGACCTGATCCGTGGGAACGCCTGCCAAATAATTCCCAGCCTCTGTGCAGCCAGGTTTTGATGGTTAATGGTGCTCACCTGAGGGTGAATTATTCGATTAATGGTGGGTCTCTGCTGCGTGGTTTTATACTCACTCGGAGATGCACAACTCTCCCCACTCTCGCCCCAATTTTGGGATCCGGATGTCCCCAGGAACCTTTCACAACTGGACTGCAGGCAGAATTATTTTCCAGGGTTTCCCTCCCTCCTTCTCCCTCTCCACAAGTTGGTCTGTCTCCTGCCCTCCAGGTTGATGTATGATGGTTTTCTCTTCTCTTTTTTTTTTTTTTGCGAACGGGGATGAAGGATGGATGCTGGGCTTTTGAGAGCGCATCAAATGGAGCTTCGCTCGCTTGCCTCGAACGCCTGACCGCCTCGTCGCTCCTCTGTAAAGCTCCTGGACATACGGAATGCTCATTCGCCCGCTGTCATTCACACTGCCAAATGCACACATACGCACACACACACACAATGCACGCGCCGAGTTGCAGGAGGAAGCAGCGCAACCCCCCTCTCCCACGCCCAGCTGGGGGGGGAAACAGACACCTCCAGATACTTGACGCCCGGCCAAGAACAGCCCCGCACACTTAAGTACACACACATTAAATATGCACGCTTTATGACACACCCGCGTGCATTTAGAGAGGGGCCTGGGAGCAAGTACGCCAGAGAGGCCTGGGGAGCGCCATTATTTATGTAGCGTATGCAGAAGGGAAGGGAGACCTGTGCCCACCCCCTCGGATGCCTTCAGACTACAACACCCATAACCCATGACAATAGGCCCTCCTGACTGGGGCTATAGGAGCTGGAGTCCCCATCCCTGTTTTTACAGAAGCAATAAACAACCCTCCCCAAACAGGTCTCTGTCCCAAAGAGCTCACAATAGGATAGAGGGCTGTTTTCAATACTTTATTGCGGTCCGAAAACCCACAAAACAATTTCAGAGCAAGATACAGTTGAAACGACCAGACAAGATACAGAAGAAACCGAGGCAATTATTTTGTTTTATCTAGGGCATAATGATCTTTGTTTCTTATAACCTCCGGAAAAAACTTTGGTGGCTATTAGGCATGATGGCTATGCTCTGCAGGCAGCAGTGCTTCTGAGTACCAGTTGCTGGCAACTACAGGAGGGCAGAGGACGCGGGTGGCGTTGTGGGTTAACCCACAGAGCCTAGGACTTGCCGATCAGAAGGTCAGCAGTTCGAATCCCCGCGACGGGGTAAGCTCCCGTTGCTCGGTCCCTGCTCCTGCCAACCTAGCAGTTCGAAAGCACGTCAAAGTGCAAGTAGATAAATAGGTACCGCTCCGGTGGGAAGGTAAACGGCATTTCTGTGCGCTGCTCTGGTTCGCCAGAAGCGGCTTAGTCATGCTGGCCACATGACCCGGAAGCTGTACGCCGGCTCCCTCGGCCAGTAAAGCGAGATGAGCGCCGCAACCCCAGAGTCGGTCACGACTGGACCTAATGGTCAGGGGTCCCTTTACCTTTACCTTACAGGAGGGCAGAGGGTTCTTGTGGTCCGGTCCAGATTCTGGGGTTCCCATTGGGGCATCTGGTTGGCTCCTGTGAGATGGGCCATTGGCTTGATCCATTATCTGGGGTCTTGTTATGTTCTTGTGGAACCTCCATGTCCTGCAGCAGTCTATCTGATTCCTAGGTTCTTTGGGGCATTTGGCCCCTGTGAGAGCAGGACACTGGAGTAGATAGGCCACCTACCTGGCACCGCAGGCCTTTCTTGCATTCTTAATGCGCATTTACACAGAGAGGGAGGATGGAGAGAGTTGGGACTGCCTAAATGATACCTGGCTAATCTCCTTGATGCGTACTCAGAAGTGTCGGGCGCTAGTGGATGCTCAGACAGGTCCACACTCCTGCAAGCGATGAGCAGGAAGGAAGCGCACTTCACACTTCCAGGCCTGATCCTTGGCAACAAATATATGCAGGGATTTTGTGCACCCGGCTGCATGTCGACTGTCACTCCCACACTTGTTTGCTGACATCCCTGAGCGCAGGCAAACTCAACGACTGCGCGCAGGTAGGGCTTCTATAGCAGTCCGGAACAGCCTTCCTCGGGGGCTCTGGCTGTGCCAAAGTCGGGAAATGTCGATCGCACAACACAGCTGAACTTAGTCCATGCCACCATCTGTTTAGCCTGGAGAAGAGGGGACTGATAGGTGACATGAAAACCATCTCCAGATATCTGAAGCGCTGTCCCATGGAGGATGGAGCGAGCTTGTTTTCTCCTGTTCCCGGAGCGGAGGACCCGCACCGACGGATTCGAGCGACAGGGAAGGAGGTTCCGACTCGACATTCGGAAGAACTTTCTGATGGGAAGAGCCATTCGATGATGGAAAGGACAACCTCAGAAGCGGGGTAGACTCTCCGTGCCTGGAGGATTTTAAAGAGCCATCGATAAACTATGGAGCTCAGTCCCATGGACCACCAACTTGGTTGGCTCTACAAGACAAGTTCATGGAGGAGAGGCTGTTGTTGGCTACTAGACAGTGATGATTCTGGATGAAGAGAGAGCTCTCGCTTCCTGCCTGAGGGTTGGCCATTGAGGCACCTGGTTGGCCACTGTGAGAACAGAATGCTAGAGTAGATATTATTATTATTATTAATTTATTATTTATACCCCACCCATCTGGCTGGGCTGCCCCAGCCACTCTGGGCGGCTTCCAACAAAATAGTAAAATACTGTAATATATCAAACATTAAAAGCTTCCCTAAACAGGACTGCTTTCAGATGTCTTCTAAAAGTCAGATAGTTGTTTATTTCCTTGACAGCTGAAGGGCGGGTGCCACTACCGAGAAGGCCCTCTGCCTGGTTCCCTGTAACATGGCTTCTTGTCATGAGGGAACTGCCAGAAGGCCCTCGGAGCTGGACCTCAGTGTCCGGGCTGAATGATGGGGGTGGAGATGCTCCTTCAGATATACTGGACCGAGGCCGTTTAGGGCTTTCAAGGTCAGCACCAACACTTTGAATTGTGCTTGGAAACGTAGATGGGCCACTGGTCTGATCTAGCAAGCTCCTCTTATGCCCTTACGAAAGTGAGATCCCCTTTGGATTGGGCTAGATTCCCCTCTAGAGACTGGCCAGAGTCATAGAGGATACATGCATGGATAGCACATAGTTAGACTTTGGAACTCACTGCCACAGGAGCTGGTGATGGTCACCAACCTGGATGGCTTTAGATGAGGATTATTATTATTATTAATAGCTTAGTCGGTAGAGCATGTGACTCTTAATCTCAGGGTGGTGGGTTGGGCAAAAAGATCCCCACATTTCAGGGGGTTGGACTAGATGACCCTTGTGGTCCCTCCCATCTCTACAGTCCTATGATTCTATGAAGGCTATCAAGGGCTAATAGCCGCAATGGCTCTCCTCTGCCTCCGAATGCCAGTTCCTGGAAACCATAGGGAGAGTTCTGCTCTTGTGCTCGTATCCTGCTTGCCTGTTTCACAAAGGCATACTGGCTTCCATGGGCCTGATCCAACAAGCTTTCCTTACACTCTCACGGAAGCCAGTGGGAGCTTCGCTGTGCATGGCTGCGTCTTCTTTAGAAGACCGCATGACAGTTCCTGTGCGCCCGCAAGGCCAGTGTGCGCGAGTGTGTGTTTGATCCCCGGGTGTGAAATGTCATATTCCGTTTGTGTTATCCGTTTGGCGAGCAAGCAAGAAAACCCACCTGCAAGGAGGGAGAGAGGGGCAGAAAAAGGGGAGGAAGGAGGCAGTCAGGTCTTTGAAAACTGGTGCCTTACGTATTTATTCCTTTGCACGCGCGGTTCTCTCCCTTACCGTTTTATGCCCTGCGAGGCAGGTGGCGTTGAGTGGCAGAGAAGTGGCCCAGTGGACTTCATGGCCAGGTAGGGATTTGAACCCTGGTCCAACACTCTAACTGCAGGGGGTTGGACTGGATGACCCTCGGGGTCCCAACTTTATGATTCTACAATTCTACACTACATCGCCTCTCTCTTTCCAATGTGGGTTAGAAAGCAGAGGTTCAGAGCAGTGATGGAGGCTTGCAGGTGTCAGAACTGGGACTTGGGGACTGCGTGCTGCAGGTGAGGCCTCATCCTGGCCTCATTGCCTGCGGCATCTATTCTGCTCCCCCCCCTGCCTAACCGCAGGGCGAGGAGAAGGCAGGCATCCGCAGATGGTGCTGCCTGGACTCGCCTGCCTGTTTTGGACATATGTCCTTTCTTTTTCTCTTGAGAAGGCCGCCATGTGCCGTAGCCTAGATTCTCCACCTAGATTTGGGCCGCTGGAAAAAAACCAAAACACAAAACCTTGCAAACAGCTGCTTCTCTTATGCAAACAGCGCTGCAAAGTCCGCCCGGGTGCCCTGTTTTCAAAAGGGTCCAGTGGGAAGCCGGAGGGAAGGGAGGGAGGCAGCATTGCTCAGTGGTTAGGCACTCAGTGTTCCTGCGGAAGTTCCCACGTTCAAATCCTGGCATCTCCTGTTAAAAAAGGTATCAGGTAGCAGCAAAGTGATGGGAGGGAGTCCTTGGGGCATCCTGGCGCCCTGTAGATGTTTCAGACTACAGTTCCCATCAGCCCCTATTGGGAGTTGTAGTTCAAAACATCTGGTGGGTGCCTGGTTGAGGCGCTGCTGGGCAGACGACATGGAGCTAGGCAGACCGATGTTATAGCTGGTTGGAGGCAGGTTCAGGCATTCAGCAGCCCCTAATCTTATTGTGTGCTTCCCTGGACTCCAGAGCTGGTAGATGCCTCTGAATGTGGAAGCTCCACTGAGCAGTAGTGGGTCATGGTGGTGTCTAATCACAGAAAACCATAGAACCGCCTTGCTGGCCACAGTCACATCTGTCCCAGCACCCTTTCAGAGGCATGGCTTGCAGGCAGTCACTCTCCCTGTTTTACCTGTGATTCCAGCATGGCAGAGGGTTGGACTTGATGACCCTTTGGGTCCCTTCCACCTCAGCAATTCTGTGTTTCCAGAAACTGGTACTCAAAGGTATGCAGCCTCTGACCTGTTCGTATCCCAGGCCATCCGCAAGTTTGCTGCCTGCTTTTTCCTCGATCCATTCAATTTGCACATAACGCCAAGCCAAACCGTGGCTTAGCAGGAACGGGAAAACATGTGAGTTCCTGCAGTGCTCCTACCCTGTTCCTGCTGCTGCTGCTCTAAACCATGGTTTGGCTTGGCATTAGGTCTGAATCTGGGCTCACTGTTTCTCTTGCTCCGTGTTGAATTGGAGAATTGGAAAGGAATCTAGTCTAGGGTTACCAGACGTCCGCGGTTCCCGGGGACAGTCCCCGGATTTGCAAATCTGTCCCTGCACAAATCCCGTCCCTGGAATGTCCCCAGATTTGCAAATCTGTCCCCAGGAAACATGGCAGTCTCAGCAACCCGGAGCCAGCCTGGTAGCGCAGTTGGCTCTGGCTGGTTTCAGGAGCTGCTCGCTGCTGTGGCACCCACCACTTTTCCTTTCCGGAAGTCCCCATATGATGTGTTGCAACATGGGGAACCGGGGACGTCCGGTGGGACAGATCTCCTGCCCCCTTCGCCCTTTGTTTTGACTGTTTGGGGGAGGCTTGGGGGTCGCGGGCAGGCGGCCGTTGCCCAGTTTTTTCAAAACTCTGCGCATTTATGTTTCACAGGGTGCGAAAGAAGGGCTTTGCACCTTTATAAAATATGCATGTGTGCTTGGGCCCAGGGTCTTTTGCCTCACCATCCCCACTTCTGACTTCCTGTTGCTACTCAGCTTCAAAAAATAAAAAATAAAAATAAATGTCCCCGGATCCATTGAAAAAAATCTGGTAACCATAATCTACTCTAACCTCCTGCAATGCAGGAATCCCAGGCAAAGGATCACTGACATGTTGTTGTTTAGTCATTTAGTCGTGTCCGACTCTTTGTGACCCCCTGGACCAGAGCACGCCAGGCACTTCTGTCTTCCACTGCCTCCCGCAGTTGGGTCAAACTCATGCTGGTCACTTCGAGAACACTGTCCCACTATCTCGTCCTCTGTTGTCCCCTTCTCCTTGTGCCCTCCATCTTTCCCAACATCAGGGTCTTTTCCAGGGAGTCTTCTCTTCTCATGAGGTGGCCAAAGTCTTGGAGTCTCAGCTTCAGGATCTGTCCTTCCAGGGAGCACTCAGGGCTGATTTCCTTCAGAATGGAGAGGTTTGATCTTCTTGCAGCCCATTGGACTCTCAAGAGTCTCCTCCAGCACCAGAATTCAAAAGCATCCATTCTTTGGCGATCAGCCTTCTTTACTGACATATGGCCACCCAAACCCCTTTTAGAAAGCCTACAGTGGAGAGTTCTTCACCTTCTGCCATCATCCATTCCACGGTTGAACAGTTCTTATTGTTAGAAAGTTCTTCCTGATGTTGAGTCAGAATCTCCATTCTTGTCATTCGAATCCGTTGATTCGAGTCCCACTCTCTGGAGCAGCAAAAAACAAGCTCGCTCCATCTTCCATGTGGCTACCCCTCAGATATTTGAAGGTATCTCTCATGTCACACTGGGAGACAAGCCATGAGCCCAGGAGGTTCAGAGGGGATGTTGCGCCAAGCCAGATCTTCACCCTGGCACAGGAGCAGCAGCAGCAGCAGCAGGGCCAGGGGAGGAGGAGAACAGCGGCTCTGATCCTCACAGCTCCATGTCTGCTCGTTTGTGCGATGCCGTGGCCTGGCTCCGCATGAACCGACCCGCCCTGTGACCCATCCCAGAATTTCAATAAAATGTCCCTTTGTTGCCGAAAGGAATCATGAGGCAGGTTGCCCGGCGTGTGGCTGATGGACTGCCGTTGGCCTGACATGCCCCATAATGTTTGTGCCATGCTTGCAGAGACTGCATATTTCATCTGCAGTGCTGGCATCTACACTTTGGAACTCCCCGCCCATTGATGTTGAGCAGAGACATATGCTGTGTTTCTTTTCATGCCTGCCAAAAACCCCCTTTTTCTTTTGCTTAAGCCAGCCCAGCCAGGTTCGATACGATACGATACGATAAGATAATCTTTATTGTCATTGTCCCATACAGAACAACGAAATTGAAAAATCTACATTCAAAAACCAACAAGCCTGCTATCCCAGCTATCCCAACCTGGTTAGCCCCCTAAAAACTCTGATACCCCATAAATAAATACAATATACTCCCATAGAGACTCCTTACACTGCGTTTAAAACCAAAATCGCATTTGGGTAGAAACTGTTTCTCAGGTGGCTAGTCCTAGTCTTTATAACCCTGTGTCGTCTTCTAGAAGGCAGAAGCTGAAAGAGATCATTTCCGGGGTGCGCACTATCCTGCGCTATCTGTGCAGCTTTCGTATGGCCCCTGGAAGCGTAGATTTGATCCAAGGTGGGAAGAGTGCACCCAATTATTCTCTGACAAGCTGTATTGAAATCCTGCTAAACAAGTAAATAATTTTTTTGGAACGGCCTAAAATACCTAGATGTCAGGCTTTGGATGCTGCTGTGGTGTTTGTCTGTTTGTTTATTGTTAGATTTATAACCCACCTTGTATCCAAGGAGCTCAAGGTGGCAAACACACTTCTCCCCCTCTCCATTTTACCTTCTCAACAACCCTGTGAGGTAGGTCAGGCTGAGAGGCAGTGATGGGCCGAAGGTCACATCCAATGCGTTTCATGGCTGAGTTGGAGTGGGGATTGGAACCTTGCTCTCCCAGGTCCTGGTCTGACACTCTAACTACTACACCACCCTCCCTCCCTGTGGCCAAGTTCAGATTGGCTGGCTACTATCCTGGAGGGAACGATTTAGAGGAGTGTGCACCATTCCTTCGGGCATGCCTTGGCTCTTTTGCTGGGAAAATCTCTTGGGGACTGCTTTACGATCCATGGAGAGGTAGCCAAATGGCAGAACACCTGCTTGGCATGTAGAAGGTCCCCAGTGCGTTACCAACTGCATCTCTATCTCCATAGGAACATTGAAACCTCTCATTTAAATCAGATCCAGTGAAGGCGGCAAATGTCCTGTGTGAGTGTCTGGAGGCGGTTGGAGGATGGATGGCGGCTAACGGATTGAAGTGGAATTCCAACAAGACAGAAGTATTGTTTCTGAGGGACAGGAGGCGGGCAGGTGTGGGGGACTCCCTGATTCTGAATGGGGCAACTGTGCCCCTGAAGGACCAGGTGCGCAGCCTGGGAGTCATTTTGGACTCACAGCTGTCCATGGAGGTGCAGTTCAATTCTGTGTCCAGGGCAGCTGTTTATCATCTCCATCTGGTACGCAGGATGAGACCCTCCCTGCCTGCGGACTGTCTCACCAGAGTGGTGCATGCTCTGGTTATCTCCCACTTGGA